TGTCAAATACGCAATGTTACCTACTCATTTGGTGGAGATCAGGCACAGGTATTCTCCGTACGACACTACCCCCAAATCTATTTGAAATTAGATTATCGTAGTTTCTCGCATGTTGCAAACGATTTATATTTATATTCATTAGTTTGGTAACAATTGTATAGCTGTTATTATGTATAACATATTCATACACTTAATATTATATTGAAATATGCGTGACAGAGGAAATAAAATTAAACAAATCATTTATATTATAATTTATTTTTTAATTTTAGAAACATATCAGACAACAAATAGTTTTCTTTTTTTCTATGATTAAAGAACAGTCAAAAATCGCATTGCCATTTAAATATCTCTCAACATGTAGATTTGTTTGTGCATCTATACAATTATTATATTGTCTGAATGGTTAGGTTAGGTTCATTTAAACTTTTCGTGTCGTACGTGAATGGTATACAAACAGAAATATTATCATCACCTGTTAAAATATAAAAGTGTAAACGTAATATACTTTATTTTATCTTATTCTTGGCTGTGAGATTGCAACATATTATTATAATTCAATAATCTTAAGCTTCGTTTTTCGTTTATACTATTCAATCGCCAAATCAATATTTTACGAGAAAATATTATATTCTCGTCGACTGACGCCCATCCTCAATTCTCCATAATAACCATGTCTGTATGATTGAAAAACATTTAAGTTGGTTATAATACCTATATTGCTTTTCAGACGTATAATATTATAATTCTAAATAAGTTACCAATATTAAATGAACAGGTGACGGCTATTATAAAAACGTATAATATTATAACTTATATAGGTACATATATAGTTATTTATACAAAGTATAAATATTTAAAAAATAACTTCAGTCATCACATTATACAATAACTGCGAACGCACAAATACGAATATGAAAAAAACCGTCATTAAATCGAAGATTATCGATATTATAGATTTAAGGTCTATTAGATTATTAAAGAGATTGTACCCAATGCATAAAACTGAATATGTTATTGTTAATAATGAGTGGTATAGTAAATAAAGAACGATAATCACACACTACAATTAATTGTTAAGTATTGAACGAAATAGTCTTGAACCAATAAAAAATTTTAAAATAATAACCATTAACCAACTAAAAAATTCAATACTTGATATTATGAACGTACTGTATTATGTCAATTTACATTATCTGATTGATATACGAAATAATAGTTGATTGAGAGTTAAATGTGATGTGAATAAATCAATAAATTATTATTGTAGGTTTTCGTACACATAATTGTGAATGTTGGAGAAAAAACCGTTGTTGTGAAATAATATGATTTCCTATCGAAAAAGGAACCTATCAGAATTTCACCTGTAACCAGTAACCACCGTGCAAGAAATCCCGGTGGATGTACAAGGCGGCCATATATTATCATTTTCTTCGTATTAACTTCTGCCATGTTGATTATAGTTTTACTGAACTAGAACATATTGAGTTGTACAATTTCAAAACTTTGTGCACTGCACAGTGTTGTTAGCAGCAGAATGATCTTTGAAACAATAACTAAGAAAGGCTAATTTTATGAAAAAAAAAACCAGACTGAAATTGTCAATTTTAAATAACTTTATTAAAAAAACAAAAATGTCACTTTGACTGTATGTACAACATAAAATATAACTAAATTTGCTTAAGTTTTTTTTTTTTTTGTTATATTCGTTTAACATTGAGCTAGAAATATAAATTTTCAATAAGTACAATTATTCTACACAAATCACTATAAATACAGAATATAAATATAGTTATACAAATTTAGCCTTATTTTTATAAAACAAAAGAAAACAGTTTTATATATATATATTTTAATTATCCATTATCATTTATATAATATAAGAAAAATTACTTAGTAACATAAATCATAACGTGTATAGAATATATTTTATTGAATAAATATTTTTTAAGCACATCGTTTTATTTTTATATTATATAGGTATAATAATAATGTAAACAATAAACAAACATTATTATAACAAAACAAAATATAATACTGTTGAGTGTAGACCTAGAACTGTACGTATTCATTGTTGAACAATTATAAATAAATTAATAAAACAATTATCTATTGTATTGTAGTATGAAGAGAAATATAAAATTTGTTTTTGTGCAGACGACCTTATTATTTTTTATTGCGAACATAATATTGAATATATTATTATGTTAATAATTCTGTACCTCGGAGGAAAAAATAAAATGATAAAATTCCATTTTCATCAAAACTACTCATTCCAATTAATAATTTAAATATTATGTGTTATACTCTGATAGTCTGTCTTTATCACCAATATATTATCATTTCAACAGTAAGATGAATAATAATATACAGAATGCATGCTCAATGCATCCTTAATTATTCCTTTAATAATAAATTAATTTAAATTTTTGGAATTTTTAAATATATACATAAATTCCCTATTTTCAAATCATTGAGATTTTTCGTACTACTTAGGGGATTCTTGTGTGGTCATACCAACTTCTATTGTTCAAATGAGACCGACCCCCTTTTCTATTGTAAAATATTTAGCGGATAATTTTGTCTGAAAATTTGATTGTACCTAATTCAAAATTTGACGAGTAGTACCTATCTCAGTTATTAAAATGCATATACCTAATAAGGATAATAACCTTTAAAAATGGTTTTACAATAATATAAATTGGTTGTTATATTAAATCTAGTATTTATAGGACCATTTTTACAAATTATAAATGTTAAATGTTGATAGATTAATATTAATTTCTAAAATGTTTAAGTCACCATAGATACCTAATTCCACGCCTTTCAGATCCATCATCGTGATTCTTTCATCCTCAGCACACAATGTCATATAACTCAAAAACTATTCATTTGAATTTGAATTTTGATACCTCAACATTTTCAAAAAATTCATCCACTAAATAATTTACAGTAGAAAAGGGGACCCCTGTTTCATTTGAAAAAAAATAGTTATGAAGTAATTGTATCTCCATATGGTACTCCCTAAAAGTAGTACAACAAATTTCAAGAGTTATAAAATATGGCCTTTAGGCTTTAAGTAAAGGTATAATATTTAAAAATTATAAAAATGTAGATTTTGAACAAAAAGAATACCCGTAGAAGAAAAACAATTGTTTAAGCATGCTTGGTGAATTACTCATTATAACATGAAAGTAGTTCCACTGTATGTGTAGTGTGTACGAACGATTTCACTTTAAGATCAATGTTTTCATTACCTAACCCTCCGATATACTGAATTATTATTAATATCACGAATCGTATGAATTAGTTTTTACAATGTTGTAGTGGCCAGTATAGGTATTACTAAGTACGAAATTGGACGAATCTGGAAAATTAAATAATAGTTTGGCTATTTTTTTTTAAAAACCAGTATAAACATTGTTACGGAGTGGCTTTTTCAGGATTTATCTTGGCGGACCACACATTTTCGAAAAACATATTATCAATACAGTATTCTGACATAAACGGGTGTTTTGATAACAAGTATCGTTTCGTATTTTTGACAAAGACAATTTCGACAACTTCGACATCTACCAAGCTGCCTTTTATAGTTGTTTAGTTCGTTGACTCCTATGTATATTGTTAACATTGCTGTTTAAAATCGTGTATAATGTAAAAGGAATAATTCACTGTTTATTGTTTTTCTATCACAGATCGAAATAGATATGCCAAACCTCTGCATAAATCGCATTCGCATCGTTTTCCAGGTCATCAATATTCAGATTGGGGCTGCAGGCGATTATAATTATAGTGTTATATTTTATAATATACATATTTTATGCGTACTGATCATAATATTATTATATGTTTATGGCATTTGATATATTTTGGGATGAGACGCTGTTTTTTCATATATTATTATGAAGTCCCCATACTACAATCGACATTTTTGGAAACACTTGGTTGGGTTCTACTGAAAAGACTATACGTAATATCCAATTTAAGTTGTACATTGTAAATTACAACGTACCGAAAAGGTTATATTATAATATGGGATTGGCCTGCGAAACCCGCCACCAAAATCGAAATCCCATCGCGAACGATCCATAATAATAATATGTGTTTGGTATATAAGCCATGTGAAAATTGGAAATTCCGAATTTAAAGTTTACGAGGAGTATATATTTTTTTTACCTGTAGTGTAGGGATTTACATTTTTTACACGTCTGTTCGATATAAAAATATTAACATATAATATTCAATACCTATTTCATATTTCATTTTCTAAACAAAAAAATCAAATTTTAATTTCATACAACCTTTGCGCATTCTGACGGCACTCGTTTTCAACGGTCTTAAACGTCTTTAAATATCATATCGAAAATTGAAAAAGTACCTACTGTAAAAATTGTCAAAAGCAAGTACGCAATTCTTGAAGTGAGTGCTAGATCGTGTGGACGCGGACAAATAGGGAAAACAATTTTTGAGCGAAAGGTACTATGCCCTATATTAATATTTTGTCAAATGGAATCTTAAAATACCTAAATTAAAAGTGACTTGATGATTCACGTTAAAAATAATCTTTATACTTGGTGTACCCGTCTTCACTCACAAGCATGACGACGAATCAAAACAACTTATAAAAATCGATTACAAAACACAGCGATAAAATATTACTATAATGTACACCCGCACATACATGCACGTGCACGTCCAAACACAGCCACACCCATACCCATCCACACGTTAGCATCTGAAAACAACATATTATATCATGACACGTCGTATATACAATGTTTATTATATAGAATTGGATCGATCAAACCACGGTAACCCTTCCCACCAAAACTCTCCGAAATATTCAGGGACTATATTATCATCACAAAACCAGTGTAGGTGGTTATAGTGGTGGCGTTGAGGAGGGCAGGGGCATAATCAGGATATCGTTGGAACTTTGCGGGCACCTTCATTGCCCCAGCCCCCTCACCACACACCATTTACCGGCGTAGTCTATCGATTCAGCGGTGGTGGTGCTGTAAGTGCTGGTGCTTCTCGTCCATGTGCAGGATCTTCTTGAACGACCGCCGGAAGTCCATATTGCACCGGGTGTATATGATCGGGTTGACGGTCGAGTTGAGGTAGCCGAGCCACGTGACCACGTTGACGAGCACCTTGGACGGCGGACAGCATGACTTACAGAACGGGAAGAACAGGTAGATGACGAAAAACGGCAGCCAGCTGACAACGAACACGCCCATAATGACGCCCAGCGTCTTGGCGGCTTTGCGCTCTTTGGATAGCGATATGCGCTGCTTGTGCTCCAGCAGCTGGTTGACGTGCTTGCCCATCGACGGCACCGCTCGCACGGCCATCGGCGCACCCCTCCCCGTCCGCTGCTTGTCGCCGCCGCTGCCCGTACCGTTGGTGGCCGCGTCCACCTCGTCGCTGCTGCTGGCCGAGTCGCCCGTGGCCGCGTCCGCCGCCATCTTCGTCTTGCCGCTACCAGTGGCCGCGTCGTCCTGTTTACAGGACGAACCGGCCGCCGTGGCCGGCAGCGACGCAGCCACCTGTTTTGCCCGGCGTCTCAGCCTCCGCCTGGTGGCCACGTATATCCTGAGATACGTGATGCTCATCACCACCAGCGGTATGTAAAACGAACCCATGGACGAGTACACCACGTAACCGGGGTGCGTGGTGAGCGCGCAAGCCGTGTGCTCGTCGAATACGTCCGGCCAGTCGTTCCAGCCAATGAGCGGCGGCGAGCTGATGACCGCGCTGGCGATCCACACCAGTGCCACCGTCCACATGACGCGGGACACTGTGCGCTTCTGCGCGTACGCTATCGGCTGCGTGATGGCCCGGTACCTGTCCAGCGCGATTGCACACAGATTCAGGATGGACGCGGTGCAGCACAGCACGTCGCAAGTCAGCCACAATTTGCAGACGACGCCGCCGAATAGCCACACGCCCGTCACGTTGTAAACGACGTTCAGCGGCAGCACGCCTATGGCCACCGTAAGGTCGGCCACAGCCAGTGACACGATGAATATGTTGGGCACGGACCGGAGCGGTGGGTACTGAACCACGCTCATGATGACCAGTATGTTGCCGAACACGGTGATCACGATCAGCGCAGTAGTGATCACGATCACCGCGATCACTGTCAACATAGCGGCCGATCCCGAGCCCGCACCGCTTTCACTGGTCACCTGGCAGCCGTTCGCCGCCGCAGCGGCCAGCTCGATCGCTGCCGCCGACGTTTCGTTGATCATTTGAAACAGCCGCTGATCCTGCAACACAACGTCGTCACATGTTATTATTATTATTATTTTATTGTTTCAAAAAAAAAATTCTTACACATAACATTCAAATATTTAAAATAATATAATGCATTAAAATGAATTCGTCCCATGTAGCTCGGTTCGGGGTGGGGAAAATGAGTATTTTTTCAAAATTTCAAATTAACATTTAATAATAATATGTGAAACATTAGCGGGTAAGACCGGTTGATGGCGTGGCCACCCAATCGTCGTAACTCAGCTGCAAACTCAATTATAAAATTTAAAATTTTTATAGCTATAAGGATGGACAATTTAAAATAAGGATTCTCATAAATAGTAATACTGTAACCAACAAACCTAAAAAATATACAAACACAGTTATTTGGTAAATACATTTGAAGTTAAAATTTGGACGAAATCACATATTAAAACCAAGAATAATATTTACATTTAGTTATTTTGTTGTAATTTAAAAATATATTATTCGTGGAAATATGAAACTTTTAGAGTACCTATATTATCATATTATTTTAACACACGATGACATTTTCAAATGTAATTTTGTTGTCAACAATTAATTTAACCTAATTTTAAAATAAACTACTTTGATCACAATAATTATATCATCGAATATAATTAATAAAATTATGGGCTGACGGTATATCTTCACTCAAAATCTTTTTTGTATACAATCATTTTATATCATTAAATTTAAATTTAACACATCAATTACAGTGACTTTCTTGACACCTAATGTAGGTACAGCAGAGTGTATCAACCCACTTTTTTTCATCTACGTCTAAATCGGTGATTACATATTAATATGATGGAGCCCATTTTGTAAAGTCGCAAGATACCCCTTTTCTTTTAAAATGTAAGTTATATAATCAGCACTTGAAAAACTGTTAACCATTTCTATGATAGTTGAAATTAATATTTTCAACATTTTTTTTTTTTTCAAAATGTGGCTTACCGATGTCATAAACTTTTTAGCTGTTTTTGAAATTTGCCCTGAAATTCTTTCACCACGAAATCAAAAACGAGTAAAATATGTATGAAAATGATATACAGCAACAGGTATCGGTATTTTTGTTTTAATTTTATTACACCATGTTTATTTCCCTTAATTAACCATCCTTTCATGTATATTTTCTTTACAAAACAGCTTCGATGTTTCACATTTTCCAGGCGTCCCTCTCCCGTTCAATCTTTTTAGTTCTTAAACAACTATTTTCATATATTACAATACTTTGTATACGACTTATATCAAAAGCTTAAAATTACAGTTCACCTAATGGCCAGTTTACAATATGGTTTTTATTTATTACATGTATATTGTATATACCTAGTTAGACTTTTTACTAACAATATAGAATAAGTATTTTTTTAACACATAGACATTGCGTTCAAATTAAATGGATTTAAATAGTATAAAAAATGTTTACCAAAAGTTTTTTTTTGTGCCCAACTTGAACATTATTATGAATAATTATTATGTTTGATCATTATTGTTATTGGTATAGGTACCCGCAGTGAGTTATAGTTAGTAACAATTCCGTACATCATAATAATCTTTTATAATAAATTGTATAACTCTACTACTATGAAAGTAGTTTGATTGAGTTGCTTTAGACAATTCAATCAGTGGCGCAACTTTACTCTAAACCAAACGTGCCCACTCACGGCCTGCGGGGAAGTATTCCAACCGGCCAGTGATTATTTTATAAGATTAGATATTTCTGTAGGTAAAAATAAAAATTGAAAAAAAAAATTATTTTAATAAGCTTTTAAAAATTACAAAATATCTTCCAATTTTTGAGAATATTAACAGTGAATATTTCATCAAAATTAACCGGTATAGGTATACGGCCAGCCTTAAAAATGTTAATTTCCCAGTCGTTTAAAAAGGTTGGGCACGCCTGCTCTAAACGTGTAAACTTGGTTTGAAAATGTCATTAATTTTTTTAGGAATTAAAAAAATTCGTTTTTAAATTATACGTTTGAGCCCTTAGATTTAAATATCCAGGTACAATGCACATATGTTACTATACTAATTCATAATATATATTATTATTTTACTGCAATTTTTACATTCCCATTTATATTCACTGCGATGGTAACAAAACTACTTTTAAGATTTAACCTAACAATTAACATGTATTAGAGCGCGAAATAAAATTACGCGTCATAAAATATAATTTTTTGTACATTTTACACGGTGTACCGGTAACATTCATATAAATAATTAAAACGCATTATGCAAAATACGCAACTAAAAAATTATAATAATCTGAATGATATTTTTTACACAACTAAAAAACCAGGGTAAAAATGTATAAGCTTAAATAACACGAAATATAATAAGTTTTGCTATACAGGTAGTTAATACGAATTTATAATATCATATAACAATTCGGAATTATTAAGATATTATTTTCGAATAATATAAAATGAATAGTATTAAACAGATCAATAAATACCTACTTGCCTACGTGTTTTGTTCACAACCACGTGTACGACGTATGCTATTAAAATAAATGTCTCGAGTACATTTTGCCAAGTTTCAGTTGAACTTAATTCATTTAGACAAATTTATATCTGTTTGCGCGCTATACCTTCCGTCTTTGAAGTCTAATATATAGTTAATACGAATAACATAATAATATATTATTAACTTCTTATCTCGTTGTAACGATTTGACTTCAACTCGACCGCCCGTAGTACTATCCCGCTCATACCCTTAAAATATTCAACCCGATTATATTATTATTATGTAATTACGTCTCGTGTAATGACAAAACTTAAACATCTATATATATTATACCCTGTCTGAATGGTGCACCCGGTTAACGTGAAAAGGAAATTGGGCGTCATCCCGTTATCGGGAATATTGAATTTATGTACCCAACCTGTAAATTGTAATGGATTCAGCGGATGTATATACCGCTTGCCACGGATTTCCTCAACTGATGAACGGATATATATTATATTCAAAGAGCACATCGTTATACCGTCTCTGCCGGTCTGTGCGGAGAAATTAAATGTTGCAAATTCGTCAGTAATTGTTATCGTTATGTTTTTGTCAAGAACAGTTGTAGTTACTTGGGTTTCGCAATTATTTTTCCCTGCCTTAGCCAAAGTAGGTATTTCCAATAACAGAAATCTACGGTAAATCACCAGCATCATTCATATTTTACACAGCTTAATGATATCATGCTAAAATAGTAACATATTAATCATGTTTTCGATTAAATTGTTAGACGATTCGACATAGATTGGTTAATATAATTTCATAAAACTAATATACAACTGTGTTTGTTTTGTTTTTCATAAATTTATCATTATCATTATGAAAATATGTATGCAATGTATGTTGAACGATTTTAAATATACAAGTATAGAATCTCAATATTTATGGTGCGAACTGAAATGTAATAAATTACTACGTTTATTTATATGTTAAGATTTTATCATTTATATTATATTAAAACTCATAATTTGAAAAAAATTATAAACACAAATTTAATTGTTATAGAAAGTTTCCAATTTATTTTCTATAATATTATAATGTAACATATTTAAACTCTGTGAAACAAAATTTAGTAAGAAGACTAATTAAGAATATAATACTCCAAAGATAAATAAAATGTTTTAGAAAATGTAATTTACCGAAAATTAGGTATTACACTATTTATACGAATAATTAAAAGGAATCACTTTAACAAATAAACAGTTTTGCTGAAAATATTAATTATTTAGGGAAAAAAATGTAATACTAATTGCAACTTGAAGAAAAGATCGAAAAAAATATCTCAAAATTAAAATATACAAATATTGTACAAATCATTTTCTTTTTTAACTGTAATATTTACTTACATAAACAATAAATTATGAAAAACACTGTAATATCATAATCCATAATAATGTTTCTATGTACATAATTACCATTGATGTTACACTTCAAGCAAGTTCAAATATTAAAATAATGAGCTGAGTGAAAAACACTTTGTGTCTACTACACAAATTTTACGATGTAATATTACACACGTCATATTTATAATATTATTTAATATTTATTAATACTCTATAAATGATGTGTTGTGGATGGTTGATAATATTTTATCTCTGCAAGAAAAAAATTTTATTGATTCATTTATTCAAGTTTTATGTGCATTTTTTTTTACAAATAATTCCGTACTAAAAGTTCATAGTTTTTTAATTTAATTTATTTTTTCGATCTTCTGGCAAAAGCCTTGGAAACATTAACACACAATTATCTCATTGCTGTAAATATTGGGGGGGGGTTAAGGATTCAATGATCAATTAATTGATTATATGGATATTATTTAGGACATTTAAAGTGTATGTATTATTATTGTAGTAACAATAATGTATATTTTGTTAAATTCTTTGACCATTTTTTGTAAGTCGTTTCCTTATTTTTTATTTTGAATATTGTGAACACGTTTTAATAATTTATCACGTGCATGTGTAATGTTATACGAATTACGGTATGCATTCGTGGTACACGTTGAGTTAGCAATAATTATGTCATAAAAATCCCGTTGAGAACTGTGTTGAAAAATGGCTGTATTAACGGCTATAATATTCGTTTCCTAAAACGAGTTAAGTTAGATTATGAAATATATTACTATATCAGTAACAATCTAAACGTATGCAAAAAAAAAAAAAATCTGATTTATTTTCATTGTTCATTGGTATTACTGTAATTGGTGCAATTGAAAATTTAACAGAGAAAAAAAAATAAGTAATTTAAAATAAATGTATAACATCGCTTAAACATTATTTTAATTAAAGTTGTTGCACGAAGATTATAAAGGTGCTGATCAAAATACAAGTTTTGCATGGCTATGCATAATTATTTTTTTAAATATTTTAAATTATAAGTGTTCATCTTTTTCAATCTTGAATCTCTACAAAATGTAAGAATATAACAATTATAAAATAAGAAAAAAAAAATTAATAATATA